CGTCGTGAATTCCTATGGACAAGATTGCATAATTACTTGTCACCTTTCCTGTTATGACTCATTAGCGTCGTCCAACTATACTCCTAGCTAGGAAATATCTCAACACTCCATCGGACGAAGAGAAGTACGGCGGCTAATTTAAAATTCAAGGTTTTTTTAAATTATCCGCAAACCATGCTCCCTTTATGCACTCCTCACTCTGCTCCGATGTTTGAAGGTCAGCTTTGAACTACATGCGCCTGTGATGTTGACAGGACAAGGGCCGAGCGGTAGGCCGCCGCTTTTGCCAGCTTCCGATGATGACGCTTCGCTATTACAACAAGCGCTATAGGACGTTGATTGGCGTGAGCATACGCAACCGCAGGGATTTGCCTGCCGGGAGCACAAAAGTGGGTCAGGGTCGACGTTTCCCTCTGTCAGTCACACAACCTCGCGCGGCGCACGCTGCTTGCAATAACGAGCGTTATAGAGGAAATTCTGGGAACTTGAAACGGTACGGCGTTAGTTTGTATTATTGCACGGCGTAACGCAAGGAGTGGTGGTCATAAATATGATCAACGCGACAAGTTAAATGCTTGACGTTCTTATGATCGTATATACAACCGCTCGTGTACATTAAGCGCAATTGGGTTTGTGGTGATAGCAAAAGTGCTACTAGCTATATGATGAAGTCAATGGTGCAACACATGACGCAAGGTAGAGGAGTTTCATCTAAGAATTATTTAGAATAGATTTCACATCGGACCAAGGCTCTAGCGGCGCTTGAACTATGACAAAATAACAGGACACACACACATTTTAGTTGGTGAAAAATTCGCTCTTCGTGAAAAACACGGTCCTTATTTTAATAAAACCTTATTACTTTACAGTCGTGGAAGATGCGCAGATGTCCTCTGCTACTCTTGAGGATACCCCTTTGTCTTTGGTATTTTTATTGTACTATGTAGTAAATTGCCGTCGTAATAGAATGTAATAAATATTTATAACATATATTAACGAATCTGATGTAAATCTTGTAGACAATATGGTCTAGACTTGTTAAAATTGGAAAACTTTACCAACCAATAGAAAATTGCTGCTCAGTTGCTTAAACAACAGAAACGGGTATTTCGTGCTACAAAAGCTATTGGCTGCAGATGTTGAAGTTAATAAATAACAGCTACAGAAAGTTAAAAGGTCACTTCACCCTTGAGCTTATAGAGCTATGAGCAGTTTGATATGTATATGAACATGTCGGAACTAGACAAGCTGTACTTAAAACAAAGATGGCGTCAACGGCTATCCATAACCTTCATAATACTGCAGAGTTAAGAACTTCCCTATTCAGAACTTGACCATGTTCGATAGATGCAACCGATTGCTTAATTCTATGTATTATAATGGAGCATGCCAAACAAGAGCGCTGCACAAGCCAATTAATAGGGAAACCGATCTCAGATCGTGTATATACTTCTGTGTGTATTCTAACTTAGCGCGGATACTGGTGTTGCAACCTCGTTACAAGAACTTAGTGCACTCATGCGTCGTACTAATGATTTGTAAGAAGCGTATCTAACTTAAACTCATTCTGCTGGCAAATCACTAATCAATTAAGATGCCTAGAGCAAATCGGTTAAACAATAGTCATGATGGGAGATGTTACAGTTATAGTATATGTAAAGTATAAACTAATGCCACCATTACTGCTCAAAATGTCTGACAAGATATTACTCTTTATGGTAGCTACGTGAATAGTTAAAAAATAATAGAGAAAATGTCTGTATCATTGACATGACTGCCTATTTATAGCAAGCTGCACCCACGCCTCTTTCAGACAATGGTTCCCAGTAGCGGAAAGGCCGTGAGATGGATGCTTATTATGCGTCGTGGTTGGCCGCTTCGAGCCCAGCTTCTTCACGTAACGCCAAACATAGGCCCAGTCCGGCCGAATCCAGCTCGGTAGTGATGTGCGAAGGCCGGACATGACATCTACATAGAAAATTATATTTAGCTCACGTAACCAGAGGTCGAATAGGTCCAACGCCGTAAACATTCGCCGTAGGTTCGATGCTGCCGCTTGCTTATGCCGCTTTTGGCGTACAGGTGTCGTACATACGACCACTTATATATACACGTAGGGCTATTGAAGTGCATGGTCCGAAATTAGTATCCGGTAATAGGTAAAGCTTCGCTACCTATCGAGTATTTGTCTTCGGGTTGTTTTCAAAATAAATCTTTACGTGAAAAATCAGGCCAATAAAAATTCAAATTATTCTCAAGATAAATATCACCATTTCGAAATGGCCAAAAAGTAATTGTCGGTTTTTGTTAACGACGAAAACGTTGTACTACCTATCCTATTAGCATCTTACTATAAGTTTTTCTGCTAACCCATATCTTAAAATCGGTTTGACAGTTTAAAAAATATAACCCCACCAAGTATTACACTATGTGCTACACTACAATGTAATGTTTGGACCGACCTCATTCTTTTTGCACATGGCATATATTATTTACTGACGACAAATTATATTTGTGTATATGTATATTTCTATCTCTATTATCTATCTATATATATATATATGTTTTCTGGTTATATTCTCTGAGCGTCTATTGTTTCTTATATAAAATGGGTTTCCGAAATGTCAATGTCTGTATTTTACAAGCGTATATGCAGAGCCCTCCTTATATCTACGCATAAAGTGCGCTCTGTTATTTTCGTAATACCGATAGCCCAGGGCACAATAAGTGCCTTGAGTAATCGTCGTAATAGACAGCATATAGTACTAAGACTTTTATGTGCTTAATTTACACCAGGCCGGGCCCGTTGTATGCCTACGTCAGTGCTATTTTATGAGCAGATCTGGATAACGGACAAGACTATAATAGCGCCAATAGTCAAGGACCGATTCTCTTGCAACAATATTGTGTCCTGATCGATATACAAATTAGGTGAAGGCCACAGCCTATTCTCCCATCTCTCATATAGTGCTAGGCAGATTCTAACCACACTAATCACAAAAGTACACATGCACATCTGCTGCCGATCGTTACTTCTCTCGGTCGTGGACCAATGTTTAGAGGCAGCCAGAAACTTCTGCAATTGGCAGCAATATCGACTTCTGCTTGTTTCTGAAGGACTTCCCAATTACAATACACTATACGTTCATACGTATCTTAACATATGGCCAAGTTGCAACGAATATTTTAAACGAATTAAATCATAATTCAAATTGTAACACCTTGAACACGAATCATTCGTGCAAGTCATGCATAACTCAAAACCCGCACGTATAGTGGTCAGGCTTCATAACCTAAGACCCATATACATAGTCCTCAGGGTTCATAGCCTAAAACCCGCATGCATGTTCTTCAGGATTCGTAACCCAAAACCCACTGCGCAATTTCATATTTTCAAAATAACTTTAGAAAACGCGAAATCTTGAGTTTTAAAAATTACTTGAAATATCTACGGTAACGTAGAATGTTTTAAATTTTGTTTTGTCATTCGCAGGTCGAATATGTATATGAAGTTACCTGTCACAGAGGTCGCTCTGTCTGCATCCAATGCTAATTTACGTTTAATTATGACCATCTTCTACGCTGTTTCGAAGTCATTAGCTTTAATACTACTTCGCGCAGTCTTGTTTAGCACCGAACACTATAGATGCAGTTTGGCCATATAGCATTGACCCCCCTCAATTGCTGCTTTCTCTAGGGGAGATCGTATATTTGCAGTAACATAAAAATTACTTGAGAACAAGGAAGATGTTTTGAGACCCAGCTTGAGAGAAAACGCGGGTCAACGTGCGTACGTGTCTGTACGCGGGACGCACAAGTAGAGCGCGGGCCGCTACGGAGAAGAACGCGGTCTCACTGGTTACCGTGTTCACTGTTGCCTGCCGCTCGGCCAGTTTCACTGCAACGCAATAGATTCCTTCGCCTAGAATTCGGGTAATCATTAATTACCTCTGAACAATAGAACAACGGACGAAGTCGCACAGATGAACACGTACACACGGACGATCGGTGGCTTGCATGGACCGGTGCTCTGATCATCCGTAACCTCGGAGCCTCGTAAAGATTTATGGATAGGGACACCTTCTTCATCTCAATAGAGAATGCACACGACCCGGTAAGCCAGTAGCGACTGTCAGATACTACATTGACAAGAACGTACTAGCTTCAAACCAGGTAGCACAATTTCATTCGCTGCTCGCTGTTTCTGTTTCGCTGTTGTTTGCGAATGCAAAATGGCCAGCGATCGACTTTTGAATTTGAGAATCAATGGACTTAGCCTTGTTTAGTAAATAACTAGATGATAATTCTTGTACTTTAGCCGACTGTAGGACGCAAGAGGAAAGAGAGCAGAAAGGTCAGTAGTTGTTGTGGACTTTTATAAAGGTAATCATTGAAAGGCTTTTCTAAGTATGTATACGAAATTAGTGCTGGGCTCAGACTTACCGACAACAACCGCCTAGAAAATGACGTTAGAAATAGATTTTTCTGATGGTATGGACATACACATAGCTAGACAAGTAACGTACTCGCACGACGAGGGTTTACTTAGCGTAATTTTATTAGCGTGCAGATAGCTTTATTTTAGAATATCGATTCTAGATGGAGTCGGTTACAAGCAATGTTATAGAACAATAAACTATTGTTTCAACGCTTTATCTCTCGGAGCAGATGGAAATGTCCGTTTCAAAGATATCTCTTCAAATTTAATTGCATTAAGAACACCCCAATATAGGGTGACAAAAATCTATAATTCAAATGTTTTAAATGAAGTTTATAAGCTTCGTCGGACAACATTGACTACATAGCATACTTCTAACATAGAATGAAAGGTGTGAAGTGCTTAAAAAATTCGTTAAAAGCCGTTGGATTTTGCAAAATTTTCTGCTTTCATAAGGACCGATATAAATACACAAACGGCTAGCTATCTACTTGCTATCATTGTAAGTTTAAACGAGCAATTCTCTCGTAGACGATTATACTTCAAAGGAGAAAGAACTTACCTCGGGGACTTTTACGACGGTCTCTGTGTTTACAAACGGATTAGAAAGTGAACCGTTTGTTACCACGATACTCGAATCTACTTCGGTTGTCTGTAATCATCATTGAAAAATGCCCTTACAATGCGCATTGAATGCAGATGCACCGTCGACTGCGTCTATATGTTATTTTTTCTTACTTTAAGGAAAGTTTAATCAGTATTGGGAAATGTAGCTTACTGTGTCTGCACTCGGTGGACTATATTATGGCTGAGCGATAGGAAGCCGTTTACTATGGGAACAATAGTTTCAGCAGACTTTGGATCAGCTATAATGTACACGATGCGAATTCTGGGTCGTAAAACCTTACATGACAACGGGCAACAAATCTTGCCCGACCAGCGTCATCTTGGTAAAGGGCATGTACGCACACTACTTACCTCCTTTCCATCGGTGACAAATAATGTAACCGAATAGTTTTCTTTCTGTAAATGTAAACAATATTAATCAGGCAGATGAGAAAGTCTGTGTCATAAACAAATATCATAGTTACATTTTAATGTTAGCTAAAAATCTGTCGGTTCATCTTTTTCCAGGCGGAATCACTGTACATTCCGCTATCAATCGTGACGATTTGTAACCTAATTAAAAATCGACCGCACGTGCCGAATTACTTCCGACAGTGTAAGCATGCACGATAACGTGCATTTTAATGTTCTACCATGAAGCTTACCTTGAGTGGCGCTTTAAGGATAACGTCCGCCTGATTAATGTTAACGGAGTTAAATTCGAGCAATTCTCGACCTTCTTGATTCCGCGCTCCGAATTTTAGCGTTGTGGTATGCGAGTCTGAACCTAATGAAATCAACCTTTGTTTCTTTTAATCTGCCTCTTTTTTAGTATCGTCACCAGAGCGTAAGTTCAGCTTTATAAAATAGTAATGCGACGTTCCTTGTAAAACACAATAGGAAATCCTGAAGTAGAAAGCTACTTCACAAATTCATTAGGTACCTAGTTAATTTCGTCTATAACGACAATTTTTCGGCCAATCAGAGGACTTCTATGGCAAATTCTATATCGGGTATCACCTTTTAGCCTGTAGACGATAGTGCCGACCGGGGTAGATTTTGGTAAACGGAGGATGCGCATGTTGTGAGAGTAGTCGATGTTTGGCGCCAGACCTGCACATTTACCCGTAATTGAAATGGTAACTTGTGGATTTGTCTATAATGACGCTTTATGAAACTCTCTTCTAACTAAATTATAGTTTTGCCTTGAGCGTACTCTGGCAGTACGGTCAGTAGGACTCTTTCGTTAGCTGGACCTCGGTTATTCTTTTCACGGTAAGCCTTGACACAGCTGTTAATGTTAATCTTAAGATAATGTTAATCTTAAGATCTGCGGGGGACTCAATATAAGTTATCTGAAGGAATCTTTGCTCTTTCTACTGCTCTGGCTTCTAGGAATGCGTCTACGCCTAGAATTCTAGTGTAACATAAGATATTATCATTCCATCATCACGGGGATAGGCAGACGCTAACCCGCTTTCAAATAAACTTAGCACCGGCCACTCTAATAGGAAAAAAATGCCGCTTGTCTGAAGTCTAAAAATCATAAAGGCAAGCCCAATATTGGATTGATTCAAAACGTTTAGGTATATTGATTTCAGTATATTGGCACGAAGATTATTTTCTGGACATTATTTATAAAGTGAATCATATACAGCGTATATAAGATCTGGCTCATAATCGAGTCGACAGTAAACATAGCTTCGTTATACGATAACCTTTGAATACTGTAATAGCTCCATTACCTACTAAGACTATATATAATATAGTCATTCAACCTCATAATAGTTCGTTGACCAAAATTAAAGAAGATAGTGAAAATCTTCAAACCTGAAGATAGTGCTCTCTACATATCTACGATTCATCCTTAATCACGCCGAAAAAAACATTCGTTATTGTTCTCTAATAAATAAAGCTGGTCAGAGGCCACCGCCGCTCTAGCTTAGAAAACGATTATTAGAATGCATCTTCTTGTTATAGCAACAAGTGCGCCCATCTTAAGAGAATTCATTTTCAAGCTGCCGTTCTTCTAGCCAACGGACGGGTCATAGTTTCGCTATGGAATGAAGGCGGTTGACGATAAGCGTGATGAACAGTACATTAAGGTAGCAGAGACAATATTAATCTATAGGTTGTATTCTTACCATGTATTGGTGTGCCTACGAAATGCCATATAGTTAAAGTTGCCACGAACGAAGCGCAAGCGCGAGCGGCAGACTGGAGATGGCCTCGATGTCGCATGGTGGAGTCCTACCGGGGACCTCATTCACGAATCCGCTAATATCTCGCTATATCGGCGTTAAATCAACAAACCAATAAGAAAACGAGTCAGAGATAAATACGGTAGAGGCAGCTTGTAGCCTCTCATGGGAACCCTACGGTCAAACTTTTATGCTCATTACAAACTTTTTGCCACCGTGGTGCCAATTAGAGTTGTTCAATTTTTCAGCCTAAACGTAAACGTGCTTCGGTGCGATTTCCTAAACACCTTCTTCTACCTTCAACGCACTTCTTCTTTTACTTTTTTTTGCAATACCCCGAATCGTGTTTCCTATGTACTTCATTTATGCACTTAGTCTATCCAAAACCCTTGCGGAACTGTATTCCGTTATTATAAAAGTTTCGCTGATCCTAGAATTCCCCCCAAGATACGTTAAGAATACTAAAACCACGTAAAGAGCACTTTGTGTATGAATACACACATAACCTTCTCGTTGCACACAGTTGAATATATTTTGTATAATATTCTTTATTGACTTTTTCATAACATAAGCAGGCATACAATAAATGGTGCATTCGTAATGTAAGCTCGACCTGTAAAATATCTAAAGCGAAAATGTTCCCTTTGCACTGCCAGCATGTGCGACTTTTCTTCGTATCAGTCAAAGGTATCTGGCAATTAAAATAGTAGATAGCATTTTAATAACAAAAATCAAACTGAGTCCTCACACGCGAGGGATTGAGGCCCGCCCTGAGACAAGATCGTGACAAGCTTGCGAGTGATCTTTGCCATGATTATAATAAAGCTTTGCTGGGAGCAGAGTTGTCTGCCAAACCCTTGGGATACTTGACCCTTTGTTATGTCAAGGTAGGTTATTGACAACGAGTCCGGCGTAGTAGCCCGATGCCCCAGACTCCAACAATGTTGGTTCCACATCTATTATATGCGTATGCATATATTTTTACGTGTATTGGCCACTGCACATGGACAAATCATTAAGCGGAAAACTGCGCGTACAGTTCATCTTAGATGTCGTTGACCTAAGCGACCGGTCGATTGGTGGGTCTACAACGTTAAGGTGACGTTGGATAGGACGAAAAAGCGGTCTGTGGCCGACAGGCTATCCAACGAAGGGCCTAAATTATTCACTCCTTTTTGTCTGGGATAGTTGCATTTTGTTGTGTGCAATTAACAACTAACGACTAAATGACACTTCATCAATATTCTAACTAAGGAAATTTCAACGTCCTTGCCCTAGCGATAAGATTGTTTCGCTTTACGGATCTTTACTAGTCTGTAAAATAGGGGAAAATTTAGAGCTATATTATATAAAAATAGATACTATTGCTAGATACGAGAAAAAATTGGAAAAAGCTATTATACCGACAGAATACCGTAATCGTTTATTGTTAATATAAAAATGTTGTAAATAGAGAAAATCTGTACTAATAATGATAAACTGAAGAGAATGAGTAAGATATATTCGATGAGTTTATTTATGTTTACATAGATTTAACGTAGACCGAGCCGCGTGCTCGTATTAGTTAAGGGGGACGTATCGTCATTTTAGGAATGCATTTAGACCCAATGGTAACTAAATTTTTGCTCTGGATCCGACGGACAACTACTAGCTTTGTGTCGTCTTTACTATTCATTCATGCGATCTACTAACTCCTTGATCGCTTTTTAGCAAATCATGCTCGTTACAATCGTCTACAGGAAATATCCGAGCACCGTTCACGAATGTCAGCCTCGCTAAATTTCCGAGGGAGGGTTATATATTATGAAACAATGTTAAATAGGTTTGATACGATAGTGGGCTGGCAAATATGTTGGAAGCCGTTTGTAAGAATGTACGTCTATATATTCAACAAAACATTACCGACATTGGAACGCGACTGTCACGGACACTTTAAGCGAAAATATATATTATATGATGTTAGAATCAATAGAAATATGTTTACCTATACATAGATTTACCGATAAGTGTAGAAATGGGGCCAGTCAATATCCTTTCGGTTTCGTCTTCCTCCTTCGGGTACGTCACCTTTGTCCTCATGTCAGTGTCAAACAGAGACACCGATACAAAAAGGTTCCGCAGCACCAAGGTAACTGTAGGTGCATGCGAAAGTATCACAGAGGATTAACGGTCAGGAATAATGAGACAATTCTAGGAGCTTCAACGAGGAAAGTAGACAATAAAACACTACAGGAGAGTGGACAACAAAAGCCCTAAAGGAGACTCGCAGTCGAGCAAACGCCCACGAGGCCAATAGCTAGGATCGCATATTCAGAAGTATGCTGCTGAGGTAAGGGTGTAGCAGGACGACTTGGCGGCATCATACAAACCTAATTCCAGTGGTACCAACTTCGAATCAGTTACCTTTGCGACATCGAAGGGTAAAACTACAGCGAAGTAGCAGGTTGAGGCAGTATCCAGCCTTTCCGCTTTAGGGCAGTCCAAAGCCAGATAAAGGAAGGCAAGAGGCCATTGCTGCTGCAGGACTTATTGATCTATTCTAACCTTTGAGGCTATCAGGGTGTGCAACCAGCAAATACTCGATTTGTTCGTGAAAATAACAAGGGGCAGACCCTGACTAGAGTGAGGAACGGGAGGTAGATGTGTTCAAGTCAAGACTAGCATGCTTCACCAGGACTATCCATTACATCGAAGAGCCAAAATGAAGGGTCACCGGTAGTCCTTCACACTCGTATGACGGATGCCAATTTGGTTGAATGTCTGGACTGATTCCGATGCATCAGTGCATGCACTCATTCAAGTTATCGAGCGTCATTAACTTCAAGCAATTATATTCTTCCATCTCTAACGCTACGGCGGCAATGGATGCAACGATCGACAATTATGTAGTCTGCCAAAAAAGACCTAAAAATTCCCACAAATATAGAACTAAAAAGGGAATCCTAGGTACATATACGAAGCTTTCTTTCACGCAATCCTGTTTATGATTAAATATTACTGATGTAAAGGGCGATATATTCATGTTAACTTATTTTGTTATTATACGCATGTATGCAAATTTACGGTCTGCATGCGTCACAGTTCATACTATAAAGGTGAACTTTTGCGCCGTGCTAATTCGTCTTCGAAATGGGCACTTTTTTTTATTCAAGTTTTACATCGTTATTTAGCTGGATTGCAGTCTGTTTTCCCTTTTATATTACTGAGATTAGTATTCACCTTCCTACAATAGTCGTCGACAGAATCCATGATCGCACGTGGAGAGATCAATAAATGCGAACGGTATATTTCAAATTGTCGAACTGGGCTGCCGTTGACTCGAAATTTCTGGCGGAAATTTACAAGCGTTCCTTTACACATTGCATCAAGCCATCGAAGGCAGATCCTGATGAAGAGGACAAGGAATTGCTTTATCTTCGAGTGCAGAAGATATCAATAAGGGCCACTACCTAAATCCATAAAAATTTCGCGTAATTCATCTAATGAGATCGTGTGGTGGTGTGGCAGCGAGTGCAACCCGTGTTAACTCTCTTAGTAAAGGGTGCCGCTGCCATGTCAACCGGATGTCTTCTATGGTACGACACTCTTCGGAACTATGCAATTCGTTTTCCACCCTATGATCTATTCGAAGATCGTTAGTTCCGTCTAATAACAATACACGTAGCTATTTGTTACAAAAAGCTAATAAAGGAGTGAAAAACCCACTGCTGAATGAAATACCTAATGAGCTCAATAATAAAATGGTAGATGTCGACTTTATGAAATGCTTTGAGTGCCTTGTGCACTTCCTTAGCGCGAATCATTTAATAGGATTAAGTAGGATAGAAGTATTACAGTCATCAATAAGTTACGGATTCTTAACTAGCCTCTTCAGCGTGATATTAGAATGCAGTTTTTCATTTCATAGGTATACATAATTATTGTGTACATCCATAATATGGAAGTGCAGTCACACTTGCTGTTAGACAGGTTATATATAGCCTAATGAAGACAGCTATAGTCGTAAAAGCCTGATATCGAAGTAGGCGCTGTTTGCTATATCCCGTATTGGCGTGTTAAATCATCAACAGCAGGTATCGAATAGCCCTGCACCAACAGGTGCAGGGCTGTTCGCACTATCGGCAGGGGGCAATCGTTTCCGGGAACGTGATCGCCGGGTGTCTGACCAGTAATGTGCTGCAATCCGTGGACGGTGTACTGAGTACACGGCATGCTAATTGGTTCTGCCACTGTCCTGCCAGGCGGAATTGGTCATTTTTTCCCATCCAATCGAATTCCAGATCGATCTTTGGTTCGCACTTGTAGCTGAACTATTTACACTGCTTCCTTTAAGTCCAACCCTAGTTCCTCAACGAGCAGCGGTGTGTTGTGGAATAGGAAGGCTAGTTTGGTTCTCACTAAAGCATGCAGGTCCAGAACTCCGTAAAGGTGTCTGGCCTTACTTACTTTACCATCAATAACAGAGATACTTTTAATAGAAACACGAACCCGAGTAGAACGGGCATTTTCTTTACTCGAGAGATAGATAAACAAGCAATAATCAATCAGAAATCTTAACCGTCGACTGAGAAGTTTTACATACTGCTACTAAAATTGATAAATATTGAAGGAAAACTTAAAAAGGAATCCATTCCGTCTAGACAACGGAGTAACTCAGGCGTCGACTGGAAATGCTTCAGTAATAATAAAGGGAGACCCGTGCCAGTTTGGAAAAAAGGGTTAGGAACAAGAACTGGATCTTTTAGAAAAAGGCATTAAGCCGCAAGACGCACAAAGTTAATTGCAAAGAACCTATCTGGTAAATAGTTACGAAGCCATTTATATCACTTTGACAGGATATGAGATATGTATATCGTGAATAACATAATCGAAAACCTTATGAGCATCGAAAAATAGACCGCTGCAGTCCCACTCTTCGAAAACAAAGTGGTACACTTAATCACTGAGCACAAATTTATCTCTATTAGAATGCCCTCTACTAAATAGTAAGTAGGACGAAGGCTGTTCCACCGAGAAGAAAGGAGGCCGGCGCTGTGTTGTAGGTATAGAAGCTGAAGAAGGATATAGTTCCGGAGAAGCTT